ACACACACACACACACACACACACACACACACACACACACACACACATTCAGCAGGTGGTATCAGCCAATCCCAGTGGAGCAGGTGGTCATGTGATGGTCAAGTGATGGTCAAGTGATGGCCATGTGATGGCCATGTGATGCGTACCGACCACGCCGGGACCCTGAACCTCCTCCACGTTTCCATCAGACGTCGTGATCTTCCAGTAACGACTGTCCAGCTGACAGGAAGCTTCTGGAGACGCACTGCTGGACATCTCTATTCTGAAAATACACTTTATTAAACACACGTGGAGAGAGAGAGAGACAGAGAGAGAGAGACTGAGATACAGACAGACGGGGAGAGACAGAGAGAGAGACAGACACAGAGAGACAGACAGGTACCTGATGCGGTAGGTGAAGAAGAAGTGAGGTGGGTGGACTGAGGACAACTCAGGTAGGAAGGAGGTAGAAACAGAGACCGAGATGTCTCCGGTCGTCTCCACACAGCCTTTCTCATGCTCATACCTGCAGACATATTTATATTATATTTATATAATAACTTACATAATAACTTTCACACTAATCAATAATCACCTGAAGATCTGGTCTCTGATGATCGGATATTCTCCTGCCACGACGTTGTGGACATACGACGTGAACCACTCAAAGAAAGACGAACCTGAACACAAACAAACATGGACGCTTTGGATGAATAATAGGTTTTATCTCATATTCACGTGGTGATGGATGAATAATAGGTTTTATCTGATGTTCACGTGGTGATGGATGAACAATAGGTTTTATCTCATGTTCACGTGGTGATGGATGAACAGGTTTTATCTCATGTTCATGTGGTGATGGATGAACAGGTTTTATCTCATGTTCATGTGGTGATGGATGAACAACAGGTTTTATCTCATGTGGTGATGAATGAACAACAGGTTTTATCTCATGTTCACGTGGTGATGGATGAACAATAGGTTTCATCTCATGTGGCGATGGATGAATAGGTTTTATCTCATGTTCACGTGGTGATGGATGAACAATAGGTTTTATCTCATGTTCACGTGGTGATGGATGAACAGGTTTTTTCTCATGTTCACATGGTGGTGGATGAACAGGTTTTATCTCATGTTCACGTGGTGATGGATGAACAGGTTTTATCTCATGTTCACGTGGTGATGGATGAACAGGTTTTATCTCATGTTCACGTGGTGATGGATGAACAACAGGTTTTATCTCATGTGGTGATGAATGAATAGGTTTTATCTCATGTGGTGATGAATGAACAATAGGYTTTATCTCATGTTCACGTGGTGATGGATGAACAATAGGTTTCATCTCATGTGGTGATGGATGAATAGGTTTTATCTCATGTTCACATGGTGATGGATGAACAATAGGTTTTATCTCATGTTCACGTGGTGATGGATGAATAGGTTTTATCTCATGTTCACGTGGTGATGGATGAATAGGTTTTATCTCATGTTCACGTGGTGATGGATGAACAGGTTTTCTCTCATGTTCACGTGGTGATGGATGAACAGGTTTTATCTCATGTTCACGTGGTGATGGATGAACAGGTTTTATCTCATGTTCACGTGGTGACGGATGAACAACAGGTTTTATCTCATGTGGTGATGAATGAATAGGTTTTATCTCATGTTCACGTGGTGATGGATGAACAATAGACCTGTGATGAACATGTCAATGGCTGAAGGGTCCTGAGCCGTCTGATCCTGAAACGCATAAAACACAACAAGGTGTTAAAATATTCATTATTATAACACACACACACACACACACACACACACACACACACACACACACACACGTGTGAAAAAGTGTTTGCCCCCTTACTGATTTCTTATTTTTTTGCATGGTTGTCACACTTAAATGTTTGAGATCATCAAACAAATTTAAAACATAAATTAACTGTGGTTTATCACATCTTTGGAAAGCTGAGTTCAATTTCTCTAGCCACA